AGCAGGACTTCGCCGCCCAACTTCCTAGTTTCATCGCATTCAAAGTTCCAAGGTTTAGGAATTGAATAGTGTGGGTGAAAATAAACTATTGCATATCGACACAAATACATATCTTCAGCAATGAGTAATGGCTTTTTTGTTTGTTGCAGAGCAAACTGTACCTGCTGCTTCTTGGAACTACTGCTTTAAGTCTTGTACGTCAGCCCTCCCATATTCTCTAATTTGAAAACTAAAGAAGTCCCTACATTTAAAAGTTCCAAATTTATCACTTTTTAACATATGAAACCTGTACACGTTTTCCAAAAAAAAGGAAAAGAGCGCTGATAGTTTGATGCTTAATGCAGCTTTTAATGTTTCTTAAGTTAATAAAACTCGTAGATTATCAGTAAAGACTCTTTCAGTTATCAATTCCCAATCTTGAGAGATGATGGTAATTTTGGTGTTTTTTTTTCTGGGAAAAATATGAAAGGTGACGACACCATTGCTATTCAAGTTGATACCAGCGGTTGTACATCTCGGGGTGCTCTTGAGGTGGTTCTCTCCCGACAGTTCAACCGAGGTATAACAAACTAAATCAATCATATGTTTCCCCGGTTCTTTTCCTTCTTGATCGATGCATAAGTCATTGTTGAATGCTTAATACTACCGACTTGCTCATCCACAGATTGGTGTGAAGGGAGATATCTACCGTTCAGAGAGCATGAAGCGTATTTCTCTAATGATCCAAGATTCACTTCATGATTCTTGATACATACCTATACCTCCCCCCAAGAAAAAACATCACCAACTCGAGTTTTTGTTCCATTGTCTCAAATGGGGGCGGACAGGTTGTAGAAGGGAAAAAAAAAGGACGGAGAAAGCTCCGGATGTATAGAAGTATGGGGAACGCAGAAGAGCGATTTAACCTTAGATCCGAAGGCTGTGAAAGAGAGAATCTGTAAATCTTACACGACCAAAACACAATACTTTTTTTGTGTTCTTGGCATCTTGCTAGCTTTAAGATGGCTAACTTTTTTTGTAAGAGCAGGTCCACTTTTTTGTTTCTTCATCCTATTTTCTTTCAGAAACAGAAAAAAATGATGGAAAAAGAATCTCCCAAAACCATAATATGTTGCCTCTTTCTTCTGATGCTCCCAAAGAGAACATGTTTTGCAAGAGACCACCCTTCTTCAAACCAATATGTACTTTTTGGTGCCAAAGCAAAAATTCTATTAAAGGTAGCTTCAGCCATTGTTTGGGATTGAACACACACTGAAGAGAGAGAAGACTAGGCAGTTATACTCAAGAACCCGACCAGTGCCTGAACATGGAGATCCCACGATGGTTTACAGAGAACGAATCCCAGATTGACTGCACCATTTCCCGCACCACGGGGACTCTACAGATCTCTGCCTTGTTCCTGCAACATCCCTAAATCATCAGGCGGGGTTTCCCTCTAATGCAAAAAAGAAAAAAAAAAGAGTTCAGTAAACAAGTTCCGTCTTGGCCAGACGCTACTCCATACCCAAAGAAACGGCATCACTGGATATGGATATTTTACGATACGCCCTTTTCAGACTTCTGATCTGCCATCCACCCAAAATAAACTGATTCTTTATTTTGAAAAACACTTGAAAAGTGATAACATAATAACTTGTTACTTCTACGATACCTCTGAAATTGTGAATCTACTGCGCCGAAGTCCTCCCAGATTCAGACCCCGAATTTCTGCTCTTTCTCCATTCACCATCATGTACTTTGGCACATCTTGTGAAACCTATAATTCCGACAACAAAGAAAAAAATGGTTTCATTTCATGCCCGGAACTTTGCTTTCCACTTTCTATGCAGAAAACCCGATATAGTTCCCATTGTGTGAGGAAAGGCACATTGCAACTAAGAACTATGAGAAAGGACATACCACAAAACCACCGCCGATGAAAGCCAAAGAACCAATATGACAAAACTGGTGAACCACAATGGCTCCTGCTGTGTGTGTATAGTCCTGCATTTTGCAGCAGCAGCAGCAGCAGGATAACTTTGAGATAAATTACGTAGAAACAGAGCCGAATAAAAACCATGCCATTAGTCTTATTAGTATTACCTCTACGACCACAAGGCCTGCAAGAAGAGTATTGTTGGCAAATATGTTGTTGTCACCGATCTTGCAATCATGAGCAATATGGCAAGAACCCATTATTAGATTGTTCTCACCAATGACCTGTTCCACAAAGAGATTGTAAGAACACACTTCATACAGACCAGAGATTTTGCTCATATCGGTCAATAACCAGGCACCAGATCGTTTGATCGGTGGACTTCGATGATCTGTGAATCGAACAGAACTCTCTGATCTCATTGTTATTACCGATGTGAAGAAAGGAATCATCCCCAGCCTATAAAGAAAACAGAAAGTGTAGACTCCTGATCAGTACACAGGCTTTTGAATTAGTCTCAACTCTTAAGCACAGCATTCATAACACGGAATATGACAAGTTATCATTTTCTGATTGCCTTGTATTTCTTGTCTTGACATTTAAGACCAACCACGGCATGGTGACCAATAACGTTATTGCATCCTATGACCCGGGAAGATCATCATCACCAACAACAGCACCAGTGGCTGACAAAAATCAAGGCATATATACACACACACACACACACGAGAACAACGTTAAAAAACGAGAGGAAACACCATATACCACCGGTAAGAAGAGCAAAACCGTCTTACGTCATAAGGACGCAAGAATCCCCCAACTCTGTGTTCCCAAAGATGTGGCTAGAAGGATATAGTTTGCATCCATTGCGCAGCTTTGCCGAAGAACCGACAGTACAAAACGGAGCAACCGAAACATCCTGACAGAAACATTCAATCAAATGATGCTTTATCATATCTTAGATGAAACAACATGTATAACAAGATTTTGCACAAAATCTAAACCAAATGAGTTTGAAAATTGCATCAAAACAGTCAAATTAATGCCGCTGAAATGTTCATCGTACCCAGACCTTGCACAGGGGAAATTATACTAAAGGACATTACTTTAGAAGGTTTTGCCACTATAGATAATTACAGAAGCCGCAAATTTCAAAAGGGTATTTGAAGAACACCCAGACTGATCCAAAATTGAATGAGAAAATGGATTTGTTGATGAAAAAGTCGGAATCTTTCACCAAAAAGAAGGATGAATCTGAGAGCCCCGTATCAATTGCTAAACGAAATTCAGCAAAACCAAGAATGAACAATCAACAAACCTTCCCACATCTTCAGCGATATCTGCTCAAAGTTTTGAACTTTAAGAGCTCAGTGGATTCAGAGGAGAGAGAGAGAGATCTACTAGTACTGGGGAGAGAAGAAAAGAGACGCCGAAGAGAGTGTGTGATGAGAAGAGACAGAAACCGCCGGTGAGGGGTCAGTGGAGGAAGCATGGCCGACCACTGGGATTTACAAATCTCGCGGGTAGAAAAACTTGTCTCCTAATACGCTCAATAACATGGAAAAAGTCACTATTACCCTTTTTGTGAATTTATTTTCCGAGGGAAAAGGCTAAAGTTGACTGGTGTTAAAAACGTGTTTGTATGAACCTTCCTCCCTTCCGTCGTTCAATGGGTTGAGTCTGCTGTTTGTATGATGCTCAAGAAGATAAAGGAACAGACGCATCCGCCAAGATTCGGTAATCACCGTGGCGGTTGTCACCGAGAGGATTGGCTGTTGTGTCAGATCGGACCAATGCGTCATCGCGTGAATCGAAGGATAAGCAGATCAAACCTAGCAACAGGAATATCGATTTGTCACTGTTAGTTAAATCTCCTCTAACACACACAACAGAACAGGTTTTATGAAATTCCAGATTTTGGGTTTAGAGTGGACAAACAAACCGCTCCAAACCAACACAAACCAATCTATATGAGAGAACCGATGATTCCTTGTCTAAAAGGATTCTGTATGTTCTTGTGAAGGATGCAGTTTGCTTCGTTTTTTTTCTTTGATTGAGCCAAGTCAATAGAAGATCCCACAAACATTGACCATTTACAATTTACGAAACGCAAAAGATTTGGAAAATCACATATATTCCTCAAGCAAAAACCATGCGAGAAGAGATCAATCATGATTGAACGAACACAAGGTATATAGAATCAGACGCATCAAGTTTCTTGTTTCCTCTACCAGTCCTATATAGTATACAAATATCATAACATAAAACTGTACACCGAGCGTCACTTACTTATGCATTCACCTTTCGAAATGGGCCTCCCCGCCTTGATCTGTTACCCTTCGGCGCATGCCGTTGTGGGACTGATGATGATGCACTGGCTCGATCTTCACCCCACACCCGGTTTCTCCCGCATCAAGGCCATTCCTCTTGGCCTTCGCACGATAGCCACCACGCTTCCCGGATCTTGGCTCATGCGCCTGGTCTTTTACCTTCTTGGACATGATACAAACACACATTCTGCATTAGCCAACCCAACCCATAAAACGACCAAAAAGAGCAAGATTCAACAGACGCTATAATTGGATTCGACCCAGAATTTCTAAACAAAGTTACCCATATCATGACCCCATCACATCCAATCCAAGCAAGTGCTAAGATTCAACTTTGTACTGAACAAAGAACGACAGAGACCCAAATCTCAGGACACATCTACTGGTTTTCCAATCCCTAATCTAACCCCACTACAGATAGCCAAGACACCAACGTATAATTCATTCATCAAGATCAGAAACAATTCCAGAACTACGAGAAGAGATCAAAACCAAACCCTAATTCTACACACCCGTATTCAGTGCCAAAACCAGTCGAAACAGGAGCAAAAAGATCAGACAAGGAACCAATCTTCCATGGCGAGACACACAGCCAAATCAATTGCGGGAAAAGAAACCTGATCTTGAAGAGACGAATCGCGAACGGTATCGGCCACCAGCTTGGAGGAGAACATAACTCCAGAATTAAGAACTAAGATTGGGTCAGAAAGAACCCTCGTTCCCATATTTATCCCCCAAGCCCCAAGTTAACGCCGACACTCTGATTTGATACCGACTAGCCAAACCTTGGGCCACAAGTTTAGGGATAATAATCTTATATACATGCATGAATTGTACGTGCATGAATGTTTATTTATTTATTTTTTTGACAAAATCGTGCATGAATGTTTATTATGATAATCTTCAAACAAAATAAAAATATCCAACACGAACTGTATCTTTATTCAATTGTAAAAATGCGTCAATTCTAGTATTGTTTTAGAAACAATTATATATATATATATATAAATAATATCGACCATATTATATGATTTATATTAGGAAAAAATACCTAAAAATTTCTGAACTTGTAATTTGGTGTAATATTAATTCCTAAACTTGTAGATGCGTCTATTTATTCCCGAACTTGTATTTTTGAACATATTAATTTCTAAACTTGCATTTTTGAACATATTAATTCCTAAACTTGCATTTGTAAACACAATAATTTCTAAACTTTGCTTTGGTTAATTAGCGGTATCGATGATTTTGGAACTGTTAAACAAGTTTAGGAATTATTATATTCAAAAATGCAAATTCGGGAATAAATAGATGCACCTACAAGTTCAAAAATTCATATTATACCAAATTACAAATTCAGAAATTTTTAAGTATTTTTTTCTTTTATATTAAAGTTTATAGTCCCTTTCTAATAATAATAAATAAATAATTTTTCTCTATCGGCTGCGGATAGTCTTGACTAATCTGAATTTTCGTATTTAGAAGAATTATCTCTTTAGAAAACCCAACAATTAATGTATAAAAATTTTTGTTATAGCGCTTGAAATTATTACCCAGTGATATATAAATAAACCTTAAGAAAAAGTTGGATATTTTTCAATAAGATCTTTAAAAAAAAAAGTTTCTTCACCTCAAAACCAGAGACAAGCTCTCCTTTAAAAAGAAGTCATCTTCCTTTCCACTTCCACTCTCCAACGGACAATTTGTCACTGCTGTAACTCCGACATGGTATGGATAAGATGCAGTAGGATTCCCTCGAGTTCCTCTCCGTCCCTCCATCCATTGATTGCAGCTCTGATCCTAAGGTCTGAAACCCTGTTCCACAATGGATAGCTCTTCCTCGGCATCACATGATCTCCTTCTATCAGCTTCAATGTCGGACAGAAATCACCTCCTCCATCTCCAAGGTATATAAACCTTGTCAGGTTTCCGGTATCAGGAAAGGAAGCACGCAAATGATCGAGCACTAGACCCTGAAGAACCAAAATCGAGAGGAATGAATTTCCAAATTAGAGAGAAGAGAATTCTCCACATATCAGGGTGCCAATTGTTTATCTCCAGAGGCTTCTCCTACCGAGCTAAATCGTCTAATGGTGAATTCTTCTCGATAAGCAGAGACCACGAAAGAAATATGGACACATAGCAGTTGTAACATTTCCTATCCCATCGCCTTCCAATACAGTCCCAAAGGCCTCCAAGGACATTATTTCACTCAATAACTAGAGGGTATAAATTTTGTTCACGTATAAGCACAGAAGACGTTAGATTCTAATAATCAGAAGGTCATCTACTAGAAAATTTCTCATAAAAGCTTCATCTATTCCCACTAATGATCAAAGGCTCTTTTAACAAATACCAAAACAGATCATATAGACTTCAAGGCCATAATCACAACGATATAACAGGAGTTAAAAGGGTCTAACACCTTGCAAAGATTTGACGGGCAAAGATCGCATCCATGAGGAGGAGCAGCATGATGGTAAGGGAAGATCCGAAGCCTTCCATTTTCATCCACAGAGGTTTGGTTTGTGTAAATTTCTGAGAAGTAATCCAACAAACTATGCTGTTCCAGGATCTTCTCGATGAAAAATTGATTTGCATCACTCACAATCTTCAAATCGCATCTACAGTTGAATCACAAGCAATCAGTAAAAGAGAACTGGCAGAGCATTGATATCACAATGAACTCATGAATAACAATGCATCTACTCATTGCGAAGAAGACTAAATCTCAATACATGAAAATGACTATGCCACTGACTTCACAAATACCCAAAACCTAAAGAACAAATATTGAATGGGAAGATTGAATAAATGTGTAATTTTCTCATTACCCTAAAGACTTGGCCGATTTTATAGCTGAAACAACATGTGGATCGATCGGCATCTTCTTCAAGCAAGCTTCAATGTCCTTAACCGATCTCCCTCGTGAATGCAATTCCATCATCATCCTATCCTTTCCACAAGACAAGTAACAGAACCCAAGGAAAAACAGATATCAGATCCGATCAGACAGCTCTAAACCATAGAGAACAGAACCACTTTCAAAACGCAGCAAGCGAATCAATGTACGATCAAAAAATACCATGAGACGGTTCCAGGGCAAGGTTAAGCGGAGCTGATGGAAGAGCTCGGTGAGACCCATCTCCGTGACCACCCAGTTGTCGCTGTCTCCATCGATCAGAGTCCGATCGAAATCGAAAACAACAACAATTCCCGCCATCTCATACGACGCAGTTGCGGAGAATCTACCTGTAAATTCTCGCCGGAGCTGCTTCTCGCCGGCAGTGATGGGAGAAAAGCAGCTCCGTGAAGTCAATCCTATTGGCCAATGGCGCTAGGGCCAGAAGAAAATTGAATCGAGTCGTCGTCTTCCAATTTTCCTTTATCACGAAAAGACCAAAGTAACCTTAGTCGAAGCGCTAATTACACGTGAACCATCTCTAAGTATACCTTATTTGGGCCTGGCCTATTGAAGAACAGACATTCATTATGGCCTATGTTAAGGCCCATTTTAGATACACACTAGGCTCATGTTAAAGGGAATATCACAACAAATGAAAAGAATAAAACAATTTCAAAAGAATATGCATGAGAATACAAAGAGTGCAAAGAAAGAAGAATCAATCTAAACTTCCATGGAAACCCTAGTTTTTATCGGTTTAAGCTTCAGGCCGAGACTCTCCGGCGAGAAAAGCTCCGGCGAAATGCAAGAAGGGCTGAGCGGACTCCGAGGGCTGTCGCTGATGTGGCACCTCCGGGACAGGCCGTAACCCATGAAGAATAACTCCATCGGTATCAGCATCGCATGCGGTTGCTCTACCGCCACCATCGATCCACAAGCTTGCACCTGCATTTCATTCCATCAAGAGCGTTGCCATAAATGGCGTTCGATCGTCACTCGGGCAAAGATCAGGAACATATCAAAACGGAATCTTTGATCGGGTTTCACCAGTTTGAAGAAGAAATGGTGTCGGAAAGTTCTTATGTACACATACCTCTACTAAGGCGGTGTATCTTCTGTCCAATACGGACATCATCTGAAGAGCTTCGGAGTGAAATGGGGATTGGTCTCCCACGAATATGAGCGCCCGACATTTCAAATTTCTCAATCCGTCAGTTAGATTACGCCTCCTGCAATTTTTCCAAAGATTTTGGAACTTAAAAGGTTCAGAGATTGTGCCATTCAGACATCTCTGGTCTGAAAAACCAGACAACAATGGAAAATGGGTTCTTACCTGTTGATTGCTTCAAGGAACCACATAAGATTGGTATTGTGTCTCTCATCCAGTAGCTGCAGATACAAATCATATGATTACGAATTGAAAAAACTTATTACTGAAAAAAACAACAGTCCTTCAAGATGATATAGAATGGTTTATGAAGCAGGAAAACGAACCCTTCTGCATGCTTTTACTGCACATGATTCCGGAACTTCAGAATTACCACGAGCTTCCTGTTATGGTAAAAAAATGCATACGAATATGATGACCAAACATGTTTGTTTTCCTCATGGGAGGAATCTACCGGAGAGAACTTACTACCTTACTGAAGTACCTCTGAAGCAAAAGATCCTTTAACAATCCACACATGCCGTAATAGTACAACAAGTTTGACATCACCTGTAGAAATGCTTTTCAAGATCAGTAATTTTTCTGGTAGAATGAATTCACCACATTTTGTAGATGAAAGAAAAAAAAGGAAACCTTGTAATAGAACCATTCTGTCCAAGAAGGTGAATTGCATAGTGGAGAGATAAGAATCAAACCCGTAACTCGGTCCGTATACTTCATCTGCAATCAAGGGGAAAAATACATGAAGGATAAGTACGAGAAAACGAATAACCTTCTCAGAAATGTAAGAAGAAAGGATCTGAGCAGTACATACGGCGAATAAGGTAAGGACGTAAGCACCTGCAGTGACCCCCATGCACATTACTGCACCAAGACTGCAACATTGTGGTAGAAAGAATGAAGACTTGTCCGAGACGGTCCAAGTGATGGAAATAGCCGTTAAAAGGAACTCTTATTCTATTCTCGGCGATAACCCTTTTTGTAACATGTAAAAATCTAAGAGATTTGATCCAGACTTACCCAAAAAAGTTTACAACTTCAAGAATCTGGTCTGCAAGATCTTCGACTGAAGGGGAGGGATCATCAGAACATATTGGAGCAGCGCCCAACTGCAGAAAACCTCTCGAGGGTACGGTGAAACGGTAATCATTTTCTGAGAACAGATAAGAATCCAAATTTCTCAAGAATGCAAGTCAATCAATTTACAAACCTCATGTCCTGGAGGGCTGATATGGTAGATGCAGAAATTATGGAGAAGCAAGGATGCTGCTTCAGGACATAGAAACAACCCTTGGAAACATGATGTATCTGGTGAACAGGAAACAAGAATCTAAAATCAGATTTAACACGTGAAAGAAACGCAAATCCCGAACCATGTTTAGCTCGAGGGTTACAGTTTAGGGCAACGTCTGGATAAGTGATCAAAGCAGGTTTCCCTTCATCTCCATAGACAACAACTGAAACTAAGCCATGGTTGGTTTTCACATGATGCTCCTGCTAAAGTTAACAGAAACATGAAACAAGAAACAAAAGTAATCAACAGGAAGCATAGCTTAACATCAGAAACCAAAATAAAAAATATTAGTTTTTATCCAGAAACACATCAGAAAGGAACATTCCAGCTCTTTTCCAGACAAGAACAGGTTCTTGAAGAGATTCTCCCATGTGCAGCCTCAGAGAATCAGACGGAAGTATGTATGAACAGATAACATAATGTTTAAAAAAACAAGTCATCATATACCAATGATCGTTTTCATGGAGAAAAGATAACATTTTCGAAGGGAATCTCTTGGCTTTATGCTGAAGAGAAAGAATAAAATAAAGGGAAACCAGCTGTAGATTTCTGATGAAATTCAAAGCCATGAGAAAAAGTGAAACAGCTTTGAATAGACCACATGAATGCATTCAGCTAATGTTATCCACACATAAACATCAACAGAAGGCAGGGACTTTGAAGTTCTACATTTAAAAAATCACGAATAAGGAGATGAACAGTGAAAATAGAAAAATGCTGAAGCAAAGGGCCAGCGGAAAACATGAAATTTGCAGCATTACAGAAGAATTTCACAGGGAAAATCATTGATGATTGTATATATTTCCTAACACTGAGCGACTGATCAAACCCAAATCCAGAAATCAATTGCAAATTACTGATATCTGATTTCACCCAAAAATTACAACTACAGCGACTAGAAAGAAGAGCTTCCAGTGTTCTGGGAACTAAGACTTACGTTTCCCCTGGGTTTCTCATAAACCAAACAGAAATTCACTCTGAAATTCCAAAGTAGAAAGCAACCCACTTGAGAAAACGAAGCTGAGAATACCAATCACCATCGAAGAACCAATCAAAGAAAAAAAAAATTAAGAACAGGAAAAAGATACCCATTCAAAAAAACCAATAAGAAGAATACGAAATGATTCTTAGCTAAAAAAAATGCACAACCTTTCCGCCATTGCAGATCTCCTCCACGTCGACTGATACAGAATCGTCGGAACCCGCCATGGCCACTCCTCACCCTTCGCCGTTAAGCAAAACAACGTCTCTCTCTCTCTCTCGCGGAAAGAAGTTCCCTTGTCAAGAGATTATACCCTTCAACGGCTACTTCTCTCTCTGCGGCCCATACTCCCTCTCTCTCTCTCTGTCTCTCTCTCTCTCTCTCCCTCTCTCTTATAGTTTATAAACAGCACAGCGCAATGCCTAGCGGTTAATCTCCCACCGACGCCGTTGGGCCCTTGCTGTGAAAATTGCGTCTCATATAAAACGTCGTCGTTTTGACACTCTTTTCCATATTTTAAATTTTGCCATATTAATAATTCATAATTTCCAAAGAAAACATGAGAAGATAATTTCATTAATATACATAGATATGTATTAGTTTGATGGTAAACTAGTGTTAAATCCAACACTAGTAACCATAATTATTGAATAAGTGGCATACTTGTAACTGTTAACACACAACCACATAAATATTAGTTCTATATTTCATTAACCAAGCAATGACTTATTATCATCACGCTGATATTTGATTCCTTTTTCCAAATCTTTTTTTTTTTTCTGTTGAAAGTCTAATTTCGAATCTTAAATCATAATCATTGTTTATTTCCGTTTGTTAAAATACAATAACATTTCGGGAATATGAAATTTCCTGTGGAACAACATTCATATCTTAAAATTCCACAACGATTCACATGATGTTTTTTTATTTTATTTTTGCCTCCACCGTCCACATGAGCACCATATTTCTTTTGATCAATAAAAATAAAAATTCACGAATATAAATATAAATAATAATAATAATAATAATAATAATAATAACGTTATAAAAAATAATAATAATAATAATAATAAACATGGATGATGGGCCTTAATGATGTGTGAGATCCTCATTGGATCCTCCTGTGTCCAAAGGCCATTGTGGGGCCCAATTTCAGTTGGTGGTGCCGTGAACGTGTTATTAAGGATTAAATTATCATAAAAAATATTAACCCACGAAAAATTGTTACTTTACAAAATAAACCCAATATAATCCACTCTGTCTCATTACGTTTTTTTTTTTCATTTTTTCTTAAACAATAAAAATTAAATTCTGAAAGAAAATCAGAAGATAATTTTAGTTTACAGACTTACAGTCATATATATATATATATATGTATAATCTATGTATATGTATGCGGCAGAGAACAGAGGCCTTTTGTGACGAGGAAAAGTATATTGGGCCGTTGTAAGAAACTATTGGGCCTATTGGACCCTAAAAAGGCTTTCTGTCTAATAAACATGTGGAAATAGTTTCCCTCTGTAACTCAAAATAAAAGACTTTTCACTCGCTCGTCTTCGAAGCTTTAAAGACCAGAAAGGGTAGCGCCCATCTTCAAGGTGTTTCTTCTGTCGTCGTCGAAGGCTCACATGATATTGCTTGAGCTCTCATGTCTGGAAACTTGCGTTTATTCAGCCTATGTTCATCTGCTTGTCCAAGCTCACAACTTTCTCGGTTCCGGTTTCTCAAATCCCGCCTCTCTTGTTTTGCCTCTGCCCTTGGCTCAGATGAATCCCCTCACCGGCATGATACCCACGATGAATTTTTCGCGTTGTTGTCTGGTGAATCCCATGGGAAGAACAGTGGTAGTGTAAGGGAGATACCTTCGAGATTGGATGGTAAACAACGGTTGAAAAAGTATTCAAGCTTGCTTCACGATTGTGTATCCAGAGGGTTTCTGATAGAAGGGAAATCTGTTCATGGGAATCTGATAAGGTGTGATATAGAATTGGATTCATATCTGTGGGTTTCACTCGTGAATTTTTATGCGAAATCCGGACAACTTCGATATGCGCGGAAAGTGCTCGCTCTAATGCCTGGACGAGATGTTGTTGCATGGACTGCGCTTATTTCAGGGTGTGTAGATGAAGGGTATGGTTCTGATGCAGCCGTTTTGTTCTCTGGCTTGCGACGGGATGGTATAAGGCCAAATGAGTTTGCTCTGCCAATTGCCTTGAAAGCTTGTTCTCTGTGCTCAGATTTGAAGTTTGGTGAACAGGTTCATACAGAAGGACTGAAACTGGGATTCGGGCTGGATTTTGTCTTTGCGTCTTGCCTTGTTGATGCTTATGCTAAATGCGGTAAGATCGATTATGCCAGGAGAGTGTTCTTTGACATGCCCGTGAAAAATGTTGTGGCATGGAATGTTCTGCTTAATAGCTATGCTGAGATGGGTGAAGAAAAAGACGTTCTTGGATTGTTTCAGGGGATTACAAGCCCGGAAATTAAATTCAATGCATACACATTCTCCACTGTGTTTAAAAGCTGTGCCAACTCTGGAAATGCAAGGGGAGGCAAGGTTGTACACTGCGTGATGATTAGAAGTTGCTATGAACTAGATAACTACTCCAGCTGTGCGCTTGTTGATATGTACTCCAAGTGCGGGCTGGCAAACGAGGCATTAACAGTATTCAAGATGACTCGGTATCCTGATGTCGCGACCTGGAGTTCAATCATAGACTGTCTCGCCCAAAATGGGAAGACCGTGGAGATGGTTAATGTATTTAAGCAAATGAGGCATAGTGGTGTTTCACCGAATGACTTCACTTTTGCAACTATTCTTAGAGGAGCTTCATCAGATTTTGATTACCAGTGGTTTGGTCAAAGTATCCATGCATTCATCTTGAAACAGGGATTTGCCTCTCAGACTCAGGTTGGCAATGCTCTTGTCACCATGTACATGAGATATGGGTGTGTTGCACAGGGAAACCAGGTCTTTGAGGAAATGGAGCTTCGGGATTCAGTCTCATGGAATGCCCTTTTAGCTGGTTTTGAGAACACCGGCCAACGATCTAGAATTTTCAGACTGATGCTTAGACAAGGTTTTCTTCCTACATTAGATACATACATCAATGTCTTGGTGTCTTGTTCCAGGATTTTGAGCATGAATGTGGGCAAGCAGGTTCATGCCCATGTCGTTAAAAACTGCTTTGGTAGTAATGATTATATTCTCACAACCCTTGGTGAGATGTACATGGAATCTGGGTGCTTGGAAGATGCAGCATTGTGTCTTGACATGTTGACAGAAAGAGATCACCATTCTTGGACAGCTATAATCAAAGGATACAGAAAAAATGATCAACCTGATAATGCTGTTATGTGTTTCAGTGAGATGCAGTGGCAAGGTGTTAAACCTAATGAATTCATTCTCTCCAGCTGCTTAGATGCCTGCTCCAGTATGAAATCTGTGCAAGTCGGCAGTCTTCTTCATTCCATGTCAATTAAATCCGGTTTTTCTGACGACATCTTCATTGGCAGCTCACTTATCACCATGTATGGGGAATGTGGATGCATAGAAGAGGCAGAGGGGGTGTTTAAAGGCATGGTGGTGCGAGACCTTGTCATGTGGAATGCGATGATATGTGTCTATTCAAGATGTGGATTCAGAGAGAAAGCCCTTGAAGCCGTAGTTATGATGGTAGAAGATGGGGTTATGCCAGATGACATCACTGTGAATAATGTGCTATTTGCTTGTAATGATGTTCATTTCATTGAACAAGCAAGGCGGCTATTCAATTCTTGGCAACACCTATATGGCATGATTCCAGCTATGACTATGAAGCAGCAGCATCATGCTGCTTCAGAATAAGGACGTTTGTGAATATTAATATAAGCTGGTAACTTCCCATCTCCCTCAAGATCGATGATTGAAACAGAAGCTTCACTCTTTCAATAAGGTAAGGACGTAAGCACCTGCAGTGACCCCCATGCACATTACTGCACCAAGACTGCAACATTGTGGTAGAAAGAATGAAGACTTGTCCGAGACGGTCCAAGTGATGGAAATAGCCGTTAAAAGGAACTCTTATTCTATTCTCGGCGATAACCCTTTTTGTAACATGTAAAAATCTAAGAGATTTGATCCAGACTTACCCAAAAAAGTTTACAACTTCAAGAATCTGGTCTGCAAGATCTTCGACTGAAGGGGAGGGATCATCAGAACATATTGGAGCAGCGCCCAACTGCAGAAAACCTCTCGAGGGTACGGTGAAACGGTAATCATTTTCTGAGAACAGATAAGAATCCAAATTTCTCAAGAATGCAAGTCAATCAATTTACAAACCTCATGTCCTGGAGGGCTGATATGGTAGATGCAGAAATTATGGAGAAGCAAGGATGCTGCTTCAGGACATAGAAACAACCCTTGGAAACATGATGTATCTGGTGAACAGGAAACAAGAATCTAAAATCAGATTTAACACGTGAAAGAAACGCAAATCCCGAACCATGTTTAGCTCGAGGGTTACACTCTTTCCTACTGATTCATTGGAAAATGTGTTTTTTTAACAGGTATCATTGTCCTAACGACCCTTTTCAGGTCTTTTTGTTCGCACCTAATATAGTCTGAAAATCAGAGGATCAGAACAAAGATCTTAACCTGCATGTATTAGTTATTCTGGACCGCCCTATACAGCGAAGATTCTTTCCCTCGGGATGGAAGCAAACAAAGAAGGTCGGACTGACATTTGTCTCTTCTAGTCTCCTGCCTTTCGGTAATCACAACAATTTCTTTTAATCAACTTAAACTTTTATGTTTATTCTTCAGCAGGTCATCCTTCTTGTTGGTGAAGCTGTATAAGTTCCTGACATTCGAATCACCTCCAACCAGTTGAAAGGTCAACATAGAGCACCGATGTTTTCTTTTCTTTCTTTTTTTTTTCTGTATACACTTCTCATACTCATCTTACAGCGAAAGGTTATTGCTTCACTTTGCAGATTCAGTAGGGCTTCTAAATCTGAGAAGCTGTGATCGAGTCGAAAACTTCATCTCCTGCACATTTCGTATTTACCAGCTGACGAAAGAGAGATCAGACCCGAGTCACTGAAATATTGAGTCGTTTCTTCTGGAGATCTCGTGGCTACTACCCGTTTTTATCTATCCATACTCCATAGAGATATCAGAAGAGGGCAAAGAAAGCTGTCCAGACAAATGGCGCGTTGCCGTGCACAGTAGTAAGTGACCAGATTGTAGAAGTTTTACCTAATGATTCTCAAACATGTCTTGGCACGAAACTGATGAAATTTGTAAAATACTGTACCATGACAGAATAAAGTGTGCATGATTCATTCTTCTATAAACAAAAAGATTTGGTCTTTAATTAATCTCTTGTTTTCATTGGATAATCTGAAACCGAAACCTCAAAATACAAATGCATATACTTTCCTGAGTGGTGTCACTCTCCATTACAGTTTCATGCTTCAAAGAAGCAACAGATCTCAAGAACAAGTCATATCGGAGAATGGGACAGAACAAAAACCCAAAATCAATCTCTGTCCTGATCAGACAGCGGAATCCTCAAGATCACTCTCACTCCCCGAATCAAGTGACCCAGAAGAACTAGTGAGGTTATACTTGATATGCTTCCCTCTTTCTTTCCTCTTTTTTCCTACACTCCCTGCCGCTTTGATTGACCTTGCAGCATTTATCAAAGCAGCATTTGTAATCTCGTCCTCATCGCTGTCACCAGACTCGATATCGGACACATCTCGTTCTTGGCCTTCTTTACCAATGTAGAAAGCATGATTATCTTCCCCATTTTCCTTTGTGTTTGTTAATATGTTCTTAAATGAGCCTTGTTTCCCATCATCAATGGCTAATTTGGTACAAAGCTTCATAAGCCTGTTTCCAAATGGCCCGTCTCCATGTTTCTGAAGATTAGTTGACAACTCTGCAGGAGGAGGATTGGAAAAGAAAAATAGAACAGATTAGTAGAATTACAGACCTTAAATCCTTTACAGTGGAACAGAAACTGGCAATATAAGAAACAACTAGCCACTTGAACTAACCTGTTATAAGATCTTTAGGAGAGGACTTAGCTCCTGGATCTCCACCTCCCACCATTTTGATCCATTTTATTATTTGAAAACGTAAATGAGAGGCCGAGAAAGCATTAGAATAAGAGAAAGCAGTTTTCTGATCTTTGTTCTTCCTGCATTGGGAAAAGATAAAAGGTTATAAGAATCAACGGCGGAAAAAAGCTCCGAGAGCCAAGAACCTTGTTATTTGTCTCTTACTTGCAGAACTCCATAGCTTCATACACAAGATGTAACCTTGAAATGGCCAGACTTTTAGATTGATCAGTCTCTAGGCTTGCGGTGGCGTTAATGTTCAGAAAAGAGTAATCTACCAATACAACGGCATCATACAGAATTTTCCTTAATGAAACTTCCTGTTCAGGATCCTGCAAAGAGAAACTCCTCCTAAAATCAGGCATGACTGATCACTCATCACTGTTCCAAATCAACAAAAACACTCTAGAGTTCCTAAATTTGGTTATGAGAGTAAACTGACCAGAAGATGAGTATGGAGAGGCAGTTTTAGCTCTGTGAGCATGTTGACAAGAACATCTGCGTATCAGGAAAAACACAAATGAGAACACAATACAAACAGACAACCTGAACCTAAGCAATGGAAAAAAACTAAGAAGGGTAAACAACAAAGAAGAACAAATGAGCTTCATTGTAAAAATATACCACCACCTACCGAAAAAGTAAGGGTTACGGAATTCTGTTATTGTTCCGACAACCCTATTCCTCAATTCTTTCTCTGAATCACCTCCCAAAGGCATTCCTCGAAACTCCATTAACAACTTCAAGAAGAACATCTCGGCAACAACAACTCCAGCCAAGTAATTCACATCGAAATCATCCTCTTTCATTTTCTCACATATATCACCACTAACCAAAGGGAAGAACAAATCCAACTTTGTATTCGAATCGGTCCAAACACGAACCAAGTCTGAAACTGCGACTCCCAAGCTTGAATCTGCTGATTCTGTATCTCTTTCGTTCAAATCACTGCTAGAACATGCACTTATATACCCAAGCATTGCATCAATCAAAGACTTAACCTCTCTCATGCCTTTTTTCCCCTTCTTCGAACAAGATTCTTTGCTTAAGAGAGAATTGACTAATTTGTATACCTCAAAAACGAGAGGAGCCAGCAATCCGATGCTTTTTGATGAACTGCAAGAGCCCGAGCAAGCTGATATGAACTGAAGCAGGCCCTTCGCCGAGGCAACTCGATCCAAAGGGTCTTCATTTGCCGAAATTTTTGTGCGGAAGGATAAAGCTGTGTAAACCCAGATCGATTCGAAAGGCGGGTCGATTCTCGCTTGCATCAAATTGTAGAAAACATCGACGAAACGAGAGAAATTTGAACCTCCGCCGTGAATCTCGGCTAAGAGATCTTCTACTGACTTGTTTAGCGTGATTTCGAAATTATTGCCAATGAGAGAATCGGTAGTTAATGGATTCATGGGCTCGTGTTGAGACAGAGCCATCGATTTGTCGGAAATTTGGGCGAAAGTTAACAACTTTGGCTCGGAGGGATTGCCCTTCTGCTGGGAGCTTAATAACCCTAATCTCGGTGTATCGTTAGGGTTTTTGGTGAGGGTTTTACTCGGTAGGGTCTACTAACGCCGATGAGGTTCCACGTGGACAACAATTATTTTACACGACAAAGAAAATAAAATAAAACCACATAATTTTCTCACACGCTATTGGTCGATCATGTGGAGCCACCACGTATCAGCACTGTATCAACCAATCAGATCGCAGGAAACACGTAACAAAGCTTAACGTCGATGTTTTCTTCATAAACACTCCTGCAAGTATACAAATTTCGTAAAACCCATGATGTTCCTCTTATACATATAACACAGCCCGTGTTAGAATCGAAGAAAGTTTCTAACTTTTCCCAGATTTTGTAGTGAGAGAGAGGAAAGATTTTGCGCTTCCATGGTGGAGATGGATCGGATTGTCCTAGCTGCTGTGTCCTTAGCACTGTTTGCCTCGTCGGCATTCTTACCGGTCTCCGAGTGCGCGAAGAAACCAGAGACAGGACCGAGAAAGGAGGATGTTCCATACATCAAATGTCAGGTCTGTGAGAAACTTTCCTTGCAGCTGCTCCAGCAAGTGAAGAAGAAGCAAGAACAGATCTCGCCGAAGAAGGTGATTCGAATTATCTTTTTTGCTTGATTTCGGTTTCTGGGTTTTACTCATGTGATGATTGGCGTATGCTTCTTCTGGGTTGTGATTGGTTTTGTTGGAAATCAAATGTTAGATCTCGGAGTACCAGATCATTGAGATTGCAGAAAATGTCTGCAACTTGAAGAAAGAGGAAGCTGACTGGATTCTGAAGATTGATTTAGTTGAGAAAGGAGATAGGCTTGAGGTAAGAGATTTCTCTGTATACTTTTTGACATAATTGGTAGTTTGGAGAATGCGTTCGTTAGGGATTTTGAATCGAATAAAAGCAATTAAGGAAATACCATTTTGGACCTGTTGCTTGTTAACACCATCTCTTCCGTTAGAATACTTGAGAAGAGATTGTGAGCTGGATCTGTATGTTTAGACAAAAACGTCAAAAATTCTGATGATATTGTATTGTTTTGTCGGGTATTTTTTAGATGGTCGAACAAGATGCAGAAGGGCTTTGCAATTCTGAGTGCAAGACCATTGAGAATGCTTGTCAACAGGTGGGAGAAATCCTCTGCAGCAATATGCAGTTCATGTTTGCAGTTGTTCTGTAGTTGCTGGACTTGATATAATGATTTTGTGTGATGCAGGTTATTGGTTACACAGACACTGATGTTGCAGAATATATATACAAATCCAAGCCAGAGCTCGATTCTCTGGTGAATTACCTTTGTAAAGACCTCACTGATGCTTGCAGCAAGAACCCTCCTCCGCTTCCCAAGGTATGTATATTCCTATTTCTCATATCTTATCTCTGAAACCTTGCTTATGCAGAACAATCATATCTTTCTTTAGTATGGATTTTGATAATATGTGATCAAAATAAGGAGGTAGGCAGTTTAACTAATAATACTCATCTTATCTTTTATGCAGGACCGGGTTCCTGGAGAAGCTTTTAAACCAAAACCAACAAAAGAAGCTGAAATGGACAAGATCATGAGATCCATGGAGGTGATTCCTCCTCCATCTATTGAGTTCGTTTGTTTCCACGAAGCAAAGCTTCAATGCTCGTGGAACAATCTGGTTTAGCGCTCTTACACGGGTATTTCGTGCTTTCAGGGCATTCCCGGGGCACCCGGTATGAAGGTATTCTCAAGAGAAGACCTTGAGAAATACAAGAATAACCCAGAGAGACTGGAAGATGAGGATGATGATGACGACGATGACGAAGAAGACAACTTCCCCAAGAACTTGGTACATACAAATTTCTGTTTCAGAGTTCTCGGGTTAAACTTTCTGTGAAAAAAAAAAGGATCTTCGAATGAAACATGATTGTTTGGTTGATTGTAGGGAAAGGCTTTGAGGGAGAAAGAGAGTAAAAAGGAAGGCTGGAAAAAGAAGATCACCAAGGAAATCAAGAACACGGGTGAGGCTGTGAAGAGGCATGCCTTGAAGGTCTCCAACCGGGTAAAAAGATGGTGGAGAAAACTTAGATCTTCTTCTTCTTCCAAGAAACGCAAGTCTGAGTTGTAGAGACATCCTTTTTTGTTTACCTTTGTGCTGTTTCACTGTACTCTTCTTAACTCTGGTCTATACATAGAGCTTTTACTTTGGCAGAAGTTGTGGGAGAAGGGAAACATCCGAATGTTTTGTTTACATTTATTTTCTCTTTGCAAAACGATCTGTTGAGACAAAAGATGGTAAGAGAGAAACATAGGAAACACAAAGGAAATCTTTCATTAACTCAGTTTAAAGCCATGTCTTTCAGCAAAACCCAAGAAAGAAACATAGAAAAATGGCAAATATTGAGGGTTGGAGGATTTGTGGACATGAATGAAGCTTTTAGCTTCAGTGCATTTTGTAGAATTGAGTCCTTGACACCTTACAGTGTCGACCGTCCAAAGAATAGTTGAGCTTAATGTCCACGTCACGAGGATTCTTCTTGTTAGGGGTTACAGTCATGCTTCCAGTGATGGTCTCACCCTCGCATATGGTGAGCACGTCTTCCAGGTACAACACTGTCTGTTTCCAGTGTGTCGCCCTCGATTTTGGCCCTGCATTGTATTTCATATTAGTTATTGAGAAATTCTTCCTTTGGCTTCAAAAGAATTGGGGTCAATTCTAAATTCGACATGAACATAAAATCCACAAGAAAGTGTTGATTCGAACCTGTTGAGAAGCCCATCAGTTTGTGACAATTGGTGAATGAAACGTCGAAGTAGGCAACAAGTGCATGGACATAGTCATTGCGTTGTGCAACGAGCTTAAATGGAGCTGTGAAGGAAGCATCTCCAGAAGACATCTTTGATATATCCATGGTCTGACCAAAAAAATCCACAAAAAAGGTTGACAAAAATGTGCATTACCATAGAATATATCTATCATGGAAGGTATATTCTCGAATGTATATAACTAGTTTTGCATGAGTGTGTGTGTGTGTGTATCTTTACTTTACCTTCAGAAGCCTGGAATCAGTGACAATTTGATTTTGGTCAACAGTATCAACAAGAGGTTCCATCATAGCCTTTTTCTTGATGCATTTCATGTCAAAACCATACACATTGTTCCAAACTGTAGTAGTACCGAAAAGTACAAGTGGATTAAGACACAATTTCAACAGAGATTTCAATTATAAAAACCAAGAGAGGTCAGTAGAACTTACACTCTATTTTGTCTTCCTTATATTCTGAATCCTCTATAGCTGTAAGGTGCAGAGAAGCTTTGTCTGGAAGAACAATTCCACCATCAACCTGATACAAAAAAAAAAGTATTTGATAGAGCATTTCAACATTTATTTCACCTTGTAAATTCCATGAAAGCATAGATAACAGAGGGGGGAAGCAGCAACTTACAAGCCATTTATCACGAGCATACAAAACAGTATCCAACATATTTTCAAACACCAGAAAGTAACCCATCCATTCTGAGATAATCACATCCACTTTAGGAGTAGGCAGTTCTATCTCCTCGATCTTTCCTTTCAAAACCGTTATGACTGCACATATTCAACAGATGTTAAATTTACTCCAGAGTTTAAGTTTTCAACTTCAAAAACACCCGTAATGAGAAAGGAAAAGGACAAAAAAACAGAGATACTACCATCAGAGAATCCGTTCGTTCTAACAATCTCCTTGGCCATATCAGCCATTTGAGAACATTCAACCTGTCAAGGACTCTTGTCAACTACATTTCCCCAAATTATCCAGAAGCAAAAGACACATGATTATGGTACACTTCTCATATAGAAAAGAAATATACGTAGATTAAAAGGTGAAAAGGGGAAAAAAAACATACTGCATAAACATGTCTTGCCCCGGCTTTGGCACAGAACAGGGACAGGATTCCGGTCCCAGCTCCAACATCAAGAACAATTTTGTCCTTGAACAGGAACTTGTTTTGGTAAATGACATTCTGATAGGTCTTGGTTCTCACAACATCCTTTAACATTTCCTATAAGAAGCCAAGAATCGATCATCAAACGGAATAGATACTTCTAATACAGAATCCTCCATGAGATACATTAAACTTCGTATTGCCAAGATCAAAAGTGTTGATAATAGCTAAAAAAGATGGTGACAAATGACAATAGAAAAATAGCAAAACGCCGGAAACAGTGAAAACAAAATGGTTTCCCATCCAAGCGCAGAGTACTTACTTCATGAATACCTGCAAAATGGATCAACAGAAACAGAGTCAGCATTTGACAAAGAGCAAAACAAACATGGTGAGAACCAAGATATTACGTGCAACCATTTCTCCGACCAAGGCAATAATTAAAAAAAAATCTTTTTCTTTCCCATCACTATGTGAACGATAACTACATCAAGCTGAGGAGAAATTGAACTTAGGACAAACATCAAACCTAGAGGGAAAGTGGGATTAATAAAGGAGAAATACCGAAATGAGAGTAGGAATCGAAGTAGTAATCGGCGCTGGTTTTATCATCACTGACATCATCGGTATCGGCGTCCTCACCGGCGTCGCACATGGATTCATCCTGGACGGCTTCGTCGACGTTCGAGCAGGTCATGACCTCCTCAGCAACCTGGTCTTCGTCAGCATCTTCGAACCGAAGCTTCGAGTTCTGGTTCTGATCAGAACCCAGCTGGTCGTTCTGGTTGTTCTTTGCACGAACCATCGTTTTTTTTGGGGTGAGGGGTGGGGGGGGGATGTTTAGGGTTTTAGGAGAGAGAAAGAAGGATATCAAGATTAGGGTTTTAGGAAGGAGACAGGCAGTGTATTTGCGCGTTAAATGGTTCCGCTTCGCCGACAGATATTTAAACTACAAAAATATGTTCGTTGGACTTTGAAAGCCTTCAGTGAGATATTTATTTACAGCCTCTGGCCGGTTCGATGTGCAAACCGGGAGGGTTTTACCAATTCGGTTACGGTATTCGTCCCCTGAATACTCAACCGAATTTGGTATACTAAGAATATTCGTCGGTTCAATGATTTTTCTTGATTGCTTAAAGCACATATTTGTAGGTGTGAATGTGATCGTTTTGCATTTCGAATATGACTCGTTTCATTTTTCTATTATCATTTTTTATTTTAAAAAACTGAACTATATTTTTGTATTGATTTGGATGCATTATTTATTTATTTCTACCTTTATTTTTAAAAAAATAATTTTTAACAACTATATTAGAATGAAATTATATATTATTAATCAAGCCCATTTTCCGAAATGGGCTATTCTTTTTAATAGAAATTAGAAAGATTGTCAACTAAAATTATCTTCCAAACAGTCTCCCAAGAGGAGAAGTATTATTTTATTCAGATTATATATATATATATATATATCAATTCCCCACTTCATCAGACATGGTTTTGACTACGCTCACTTGAGTTCTGAACTACGCTCACTTCATCAGACATGGTTTTAAAAACTAGTGAGTTGCATCCTTCAGCGGCCATGGCGCTCCGGCCATCACAGCTTCGATCTCTCCTACTTCCCGCGGCACATTCGTCATGTTCTTGCACCCATCGACCGTAACAATCTGACGCAAAAAAAAAAATCCCGAAAAGATTCATCAGAATTCCGCCTCATAAAACAAGGTTATGAAAACAACAACTCTATATATCGTTACCACATCGCTTTCGATCCTGACACCTCCAAAGTTCCTGAATCTGTCGATTGCTTCACGGTTGAAGAACTTTGAGGTTTTCGGCTTATCCATGGCTGCCGACAACAGAGTATGGATGAAATAGCATCCGGGTTCTACTGTTATTACCTGCACGATGAGATTCAATTTCGAACAAAGCTGTTGTCTGAATCCGAGAATGTTAATTTTTTTACGGATCAGGTTTTGCTTGTGTGTAAAACAATTACCATTCCTTCTAGGAGTTCTCTGGCTGTGCGTAAAGACCTCAGTCCAGGTTCCTTTGGCCTTTCCACTCCCTTGAAAGAGGAGACAAAGACCAGGAGTTTATTATGAAATTCATGCCCAAATAAGGGTTTGTTATTTACCAAAAAAAAAAAAGAAGGGTTTTTGTTAAGAAGAGTTAAGGGAGTTTACGGTGAGATAACCGCCGGGATCGTGTGTGTCGATACCGAGGAGGTGACCTAGTCCATGCGGCATGAAAACTGCACCTAACCTTTCCACCATCATTTCATCTACCTCTCTGCAAATAGAGAATGGTGGCAATAATCTTAGCTTTTTGGTTGAAGAGTGATAAGTTTTGTTCATCGACAGTTGAGAGTGAGTTAGTTAGTTACCCAACAAGGATGGAGCCTTTCTTCAGGGACTCGAGTATCACTCTTTCTGCTAACCTGCAATGATTTTGGAAAGAAGAAGAAAACACGTGAGTTTACTCGCTTAAGTTAGCAAAGGTGACAGCTTCGTAATGAGATAGTTCGACCTGATGAGAAGTAATTAATTCCTTTTTCTTTAGTTATCCAACCACTTTTCTTATTTACAAGAAAATCTATCGAATTGGCAAGAATATAAAAAAATAATCCAAGAATACAAGGTTAAGCGTATATGTTATCAACTCCGATAACAGCATATGCAGAGCTTCAAATGAAAACACCAGCATTTAGTCTTACCTGTGCATATCTACCCAGTTCACTCCAGGCTTCATTGCAGAGACTACGGAATTGTGAGCATCAAGTACAGCCTGTAGAATATGATAATAGAAGAACTGGAATGAGATATAAAGCTTCAATAGACTGAACAGATCCATCCTAGTTTATTCTAGGTTTGACCAGACCAATCCTGCAAGGATCTTACATTGTAGATCAGGCTCTGATCGCTTGTAAATTTCCCATTCACCTGTATAATATTTCAAAAATATTAGGCACCTCTTCGGAATTTATATTATCTTTCAGGCGACATTAATACCGTAATCTACCAATCTAAAAAAGGTAAGAACAAGTTCATTAGTTGCTAACACGTATCAGAGAAAAATGAAATGAAACATCATAGATTGTGAATGAAAGTTGTAAAACCCAGCATTGAACAATTTAAGCACGCGATTGACTATGGAAAACAAGACTCACGGGGAATGAACATGTTATATCAGACCCATAGAAATGATATTCAGCTCCCATATCAAGCAGTGCCATATCTCCATCTTCCAAGATCTGCAAAGGATAAAACATTGTCAGGAAGGAGAAAAAGAAAATGAGAGAAAATTATGAAAAGAGGGATTTATGCTCCTTTTCTACCCTGTCATTTGGAGCAGCAGCATGACCATAATGTAGAACAGCACTGCAAATAATTTAACACCATGGACATCATAGTTATGCTTCTCGACAAAAAAGACGAGTTCCTGCCTTTGCAGAGATAATCAGATTTTTTACCCACAAACTCACCCATTTTCCCCAGTGGCACAGATGCACGTGTATGAGCAGTGCCGACATCCACCATACATGTAGGAATGATGCATAAACATGCTTTCTAATTGATACTCTTTCATGCCAACTTTAGTGTTCCTCATAACCTGGTGTGGATGAGAAACATGGTTATCAAAAAACAATAACAAGGGGGGAAACCTAAGTAACATAGGGATGTTAGATCAACATCTAGGGTTTATAATAGCATAGAACTGTACTTATTAGTATGTTTGATTCACCGGTTTATGACTCCAAATTTGGCATATTGAGAAAAAAAATGCGTTGACAGAAACAAGGAATTGTAGAGAATAATACCTCAACGTGAGCTTCAGAACTTATATCATTTGCAAACTGTATTAGTTGAAGCTCCAGGTTCGACTTGATAACTCGACATTCAGTCAAAATAGGGTGTAAACTAGTCATATCCCTTTCAAACTTTTCAATTCCCTGAAGTAAACCACACAAAAACATAAAGACACAAAAATTATGATATAAAATGAGCAAAAAATATACGGAAAATGAAAGTGCATTTGAATCCTGAAATCCCACAAGGATGAGACATAAAAACAGAGCATTTGAATCCCGAAATCCCAAAAGCCCAGATCAATGCCACATTCAAAAAGATAAAAATTTTCACCAAAGAGACAAAAAAGAAGCAAAGTAAACACTAAACTACAGGGCCTAGTCACGGCAATGAATTGAGCTATTTTATAGGACATATGAAGAAGAAAGGATGTTGCAGATTGCAGAAACCTCAAAATTGGCAGGTTTTGAAAAGTTATTGCTGTCGGTGTTGAGGCCATGCAAGAGATATAACAATGGTTTTCCAGATCCTGTAAATTGATCATGAAGAACTTGATCAATCTCATCCACATGGTAAACCATGTCGACCATATACCTTTCCTGCAAAAATAAAATGCATCATCAGAAAAACTTGAGCAAAGAACGTATTAACAAGATGGGCAAAAGGAAAAAAAAAAGAGATAAATCACCTGAAAGTATGAAAGTCGCTTTATCTCCCCCAACCAGACAGCATAATCAGCAGGCAATCTTGGAGCAAAAAGAATAGACTTCCCGCTTCCAATGTCCTAAAAGAATATTTTAGGAATATTAAGCTATCAAATTAAACAAAGATGATGATTTGATCATATGTTCCCAAAGGGTAAATAAAACTAATAAATGGGTACACAGAATCCGAGCCCCAACTGGCTTATGAATCGAGAAAGAGCTGTGAAAACTCACTATAACTCCGTAGAACTCGGGTTCTCTGACTCCAAACAAGTAAGCAAAATAACTCTCCTGCCTGCACGTCGGAATCAACCAACCGATTCAGATCACCGTACGATCTCATTCACTCTCGGATAATCAACAGATCAGTACCTGAAGAGCTCGATGTGATCAGTGCAATACCGAGTCTGCTCCTCACCTCCCTATCATCGAACAGTTCGCGAAGGAATCATCAGCCGAAGCGACGATGAAAACAAACAAGTAATGATCATCGATTAAGGGATCGAAAATGACAGCAAACCCGAGGTACCTGGAGGAACACGAAACCATGGAGAGGACGATCGGAGACAGATAAATGGCGGCGGAGAGAATCGAGGAGCTTCCGCCGGTTCACGGCGTGGAGCTCCATCGGAACCGGAGGCGGAGACAGAGAAGACATCGCGACTGCGACACATCCACGCCGTTGGTTCGGTTGGGTTCCTCGGAAAGTACTTTACGGACAAGGAAACGACGTCGTTTAACAGTGTCCAAATGGGCCATATGGGCTTTATATTTTTAGGAAATTTTACACATTTGAAAGGGCCACTTCGTAAAAATATCCTAAGTAATGATTTTATAAGGGGACGTTTCGTATGAAATACGAAATTAGAATCCATGTTAATTTGATTTCAAGAAAATTAACGAAATTATAATCAAATATTAATTTGGTCGGCTCAGTTCGGTATTAGTGTGAATGTGATGAAATGGGTTTGTTATATAAATAACTGAAATTTGATATATATATATATATATATATATATATATATAGAAAGGGATTATTAGGTAGATAATTCGGAATTTGGTTTGGTATTTATGAGTTCAATTTGCACACAGTTTATTCGATTCTTTAAAAAGTGTATTAAATTATAACCAAATATTATTTAAAAAGGTGTATTTATTTATAAGAAAACGTATTGATAATTTGCTTAACGTATTTTTTTAACGAAACTAGATGAGACCCGCGCGATGCGCGGTTTATTCTTTTTTGTTGTTAATATAAAATATTTGTTATTTTGTTATAAAACAATATAACAAAAATCATATATATATATATATATATATATATAAAATAAAAGAATATATATATTATTGTATTATTATATTATAAAATTATTTTTATATATGCTTTGAATACGATTTGTCAATTAATTTTATATATTTTTTACGGTGAAATATATACTTAGTTATGACTTTTTAATATTTTTTAATTATATATACTCACATTATAATATCAATAATATTTCACATTAAACAATTTAAATATATTTTATTAAATAAATTTATCTATTCATCCAATCTATTATGGAGAGGTTTTCAATAAATATTAAAACACAAAAAAATATACATAAATAAAAATATATAGATATAATTTTTTAAAATAAAATAAATGATAAAATTGATTATGTATAAGTTTTATTACATCAAATTAATTTGTTTTTAAATTAGTTATTAAAAATAAAAATAAAAAGTTCAAACAAAAATATATAATATTATATTTTATTAAAAATAATTATATATATTTTTAAAAGAATTTATCACTTAATGTCTAATTTTTCATTTATTAATTGTCTAACAATCTATAATACAATCCCAAAATTCTAATATGAATACAAATTCTAAAATTATAGAGATAGAGTTCTGACCACATAGAAAGCATAGAAGTTGATCTCCGCTCCCATATCTAACCTTGCGTTGTCACTACGATCACAATCACCACCACTCCACGCAAACCGCTACAAATTCGGTATGACCAATCTGACTAAACTCAACTAAACTTTTCTATTTTTCTTGATAATTCTAATTTTTTTTATTGTATTATTTTTTAGGATGAGTTAATGATAAAAAAAATTGTTATATAGAATAGATATTCCAAAATAATAAAAATATGAAATAATAGTCAGTAAATATAAATTGATTTTGAATGTCATGACCGAAAGTTTTTTATGTTAATTACAACTTAATGGTTATAATTGTGAACCAACAGATACACGACTAATATATGCTAATTAGGATAATTTTGAGGAAGGGATAAATGTGAGGTTGAATTATTCTCCTTATTTGTTAGTGGTTTTTAAATTTGAGGGTATTTATTTATCGAAATATGTGTATTTATATATGATTATTTTAGATTCGATTGGAATTTAAATTAAAAAAAATAGAGATCTTCATTTACATGAACTAAAATTTAATACGTAAATCAAATATATGAATTAAAATTACTTGAAGCAATTCTAATAAAAATATTTTATGTCGTTCTTTGAACGCCGTTTATATATAATGCATATTACCACCTTTACATGCAATCCAAAACATCATATGTCACTCATTTACTTGTTGGTTCGTCAACATTGGGTCATCAACAATCTGATCCCTCGCCAGCTTTGCTCCTGCCTGCATTTTGTCATTCCCATAAACAATCCCTACGTCTACGTCTAACTTCAAAAAAGTCTCTAAAGCAGAAAACAATGCGAAAACTCATTACCTTGTGGAATAACTGATGACCATCATGCAACCTATCGAATGTGCAACCGAGAACGACCACACCGTACGAATTCGGTGGTGATATCACCAAAGACACCGTCGGATCTTCCGCCACCGCACGCCATTAACGGAGTTTGAAGAGGAATCAGAGTCTCTTCGTGTCTGAAAAATCGAAAATTACTCTTCTTCAAATTCTGATATCGGTCTCCAACTCTTACTAATAAATTTTCATCATTATCATTTAAAAAATGATCAAACGATTAAGGAATGTTATAAAAAAAATATTGTAGTAATATAATAAATAAAAATAATATTTGTAAATATTATAGTAAATATTTGTCTTCAAATTGGTTAAATTTATATAAATGATATAAAAAAATATAAATCACTAATACCGCACTTATATTTTTTATTTTTATTCACATTGGATCCTAGAAGAAGCCCTGTCAAATAGAGATTTTTTCAATCTAATATAATATACGAAAATAATATCATGTAAATGCAAAAAGAAAACACAATTGAAAACTCACCTTGATAATAGATGTTAATGTTTTTGTCATATTTTTTTGAAGAATAAAATTACTCTCTTTAATAAAAATGACATGTAGATAGATTTTCTTTTCAATTCCTCCATTCTTTTTTCATTGGCGTTGTGTTCATAGACAAATTTTGATTTGAAAGGCGCGCTCTTTATACGCAAGAGGTTGATTTTTGAAATTGTACTCGATCTCTTACTTTCTTGCCATGTGAGACTAAGTTTTGATAAAAATTTTCAATTTCCCTCCATGGTTTGAGTTCTTTTCTCCTTGAGTTTACCTGAGAACAGTTTGCAAAACAATAGTAAGTTTTATGAAAAACTCAGACAAAGAAATTCGAGATCCACATATGTTTCTTTTCTAGATGAAAAATCTCTACCTACGGCGAAGATAATTCTTTCAAACACCTCCTGAAATCTATCAAATATTGGTTTACATCCTTGGTAACTTTCTCTTGCTTTCTCACCATTAATCATCTCGTTCATATGCTCTCCATGCTTTTCTGTTTTTGCCATAAATTGACTCAACCGTGAATTGTAAAAAAGAAAAGATGAATGTCAAAGTATTTTTTTCTTTTTTTTTTACCTTATAATGGATCAGTAGGACTATTCACTTTGGATATTCTCTATTTCCTAAAATCAATCGTTAACCGTCAGACCGGAAGAGACTGTTGTACTTTCGAACATTGTCACTACGTAGCATTCACCTCTTCCTCGTCGCCATTGGAGGGCCACCCAGTTACTGACACCATGATCGACACTTATTGTAATTGGCAATGTCATGGATATGGTACACAGTGACCACCTGAGCAAACAACATGTTGTAGTAATGAATATTGGTCTTTGGGTTGATGAACCTTTGGTTCGACTAAAACAAATCTAGAGAGACGTGTTTTGGCTAATATTTATCAGTTTTTTGTTTTAATATTTGTTTTTATTATTTTACTTACTAAATAGTAAATACCAATGAGCAAAAGCATGATAAGAAAATAATACATATTCAACAAATAATAAATATAATTATTAGTGGCTAATAAATACTACATTTTAGAGTGTCGTTTTTTGTTTTAATGTTTTTTAAACTTAATAAATTTTATCTAATGTAAATGTTAAGAAAAGCACACAGTAACAATCTCATTAAAATATCACTTGAAATAGAGGATTTCTACAGACTAAATTATTACGGTTTGATTTGGATATATAAATTTTTATACATCAAATAATATTATTAGAAAAATAAGAAATAATCAATGTGGTATATGTTCTAACTTCTAACATCTTAGTATCGTTAAAATTAATTTATTTATTTACTCTTCACAATGATCGTTTCTTTTGTATGTATTAAAGTTTTTTACTCCACTGAACATCATAATTTCTTTAAAATTAAAAACGCAAAATGTTTACAGCATATGTAAACAATCAATTAGCATTCGTACACTACTCATCAATCAACATCAAGGAAGAATTTGACAATAATTGAGAATTCGAAACCCAGATTCTATTTAAGGCAAGTGTTCCATCCAAAATTTAGAATTTTGAAAGCATATCTACCGGCATGTAAAGAAATAAAAGAAATCTATTGGAATCTCTATAACTGAACGAAGAAACTTATAAATTTCTACGCAAGACCCTCTCTATTTTATCTTTAGGTATCCAGAAATGAATAAAAATCCCTTGTATTAGACCATGCCTTCAGCGAACAAACAACAACTTTGATTATTCTACCGATCTGGACTGTCCAATCTGTTTCATTCAAATCCTCATCATAGGTTTTTTGGGGTCACCAAACTCTATAAGTGAAAAAACTTTCAAGTAAAATCTTTGTTTTGTAGTTTTTGAAATTTAATTTAGAAACACAATTTTCTCAAAATATTATCATTTTAGCCATCATAGTTAATATTTTTAATTATAAGAAACATTTTTTTATAATAAAGTTGATTTTTAACATTATCATTTTCCAATATCCACCCCTTAATCACAAGATTCAAAATGCATACATCCATATATATAAATACATACATATATATATATATATATATATAATACACACACATATTTACACACACACATATATATATATATATTATATTCATACGCATAAACATATATAATTTTTTCAAATACATATTTTGAAATACATATCCGAGAGTATATACTATATACATATACTTATATATATATATATATATATATATATTCTTATACATAGTCATAGACATATAACCCAAACATATTTTTGTTTTTTACAAAGTTTCTCCCAATATATAAAATAATTACCAAATTAATCAAATATTATTAATATTACTAAAAAAATACGAATCGTATCGGATATGTCGGATAATTCTATTTTAATATCCGTATCGGATCCATAACCGACGAATATCTTGAAATCAATATCCGTATCAGATCCGTAAATTGCAGATTTTCGATTGTTTGGTTCGGATACGAATCAAATAATAGATCGGTTCGATTTGTTCGGATATAATGCCCTTCAATTTCGATTATTTTCTTTTAGAGAAATTATAACCACATTCGGTTTAGCTCATTTTGGTTCGATTTAAATTTTTATTGATAAAAACCTTGTTTTTAAAGTAATTTTCGGTTAGTTTTATTCAATTCGGTTTAATTTTGATTTTGTTTCGATAAAAAGATTCAGATATGTTCAATTATTCACTTAACCAAATTCAAATTAAGATGAGTAGAAGTGTTCTTCACAAAAATTACACATACTTTCACATACATATGTATGTGTATAAATTACAGTCTTTTTACATCACCAAGGACCGTACTTTTTTTCTTTCATCTAAAGGATACCTGAAAAAAATTCTAAAGAAAGATTCCTGCAGAACAAAGAATCCCCCTACGTCATGTCTTTTTTTGGAAAGAAGAACTTGGAAACTCTCTGCAAACAACATCCAACATCCCAGAAAATTGTGACGATCACGAATATCTTCAGGGATTTTTTATCATCTTCCTTCACTCCCCCACGGAAATACGTACGTTGCCACCTCCCAAGCTCTCTCCATTACCATCCCTCACGATAAACCTCATCTCCCCCACGAATGTCCTCTCCGGTTTCCGACACGCTAGAAGAGTTTTCAGTCTCAACAACCCCTCTCTTGCTCGGTTCTGTTCTTATTTGTTCCCTGGTTCATGATACGGCGCGTGCTGCTATCCGAGACCCTATATCCTTTCCGATCGAGAAATCTCTTAGACGACGAAGTGAAGCAGTATTGTCTTCCCGACCGTTCCTTTGACATCACAGAGCTTGAGGGCTTTTTGTCCCTCCACGAACTGTCCTGACGTTCATTCAGTTTTCGGTCTTGAGGACTGCTTCTAGAAACTTAAGAAACAACCTGCTTGACTTCAGTTCCTTGCATGCTTCCTTAAGCATTAACAAACATCATCATTTAGTTGATAACAGATATAATAACCAGTTGTTGAGCGACACAAGAATCGATTACCTCGAGCATAGAGAAAGAGTTGTATAATCAGCTTCTCTCAGTGTGATGCAGTGCTTTCTATGATATTCTAACATGCATTAAACAAAAAATATTGTAATACTGATGAAACAAAGAGGATCGAATGTAGTAGACCTTGTTGAATTTTGGGAGCTCCGGCTGATGTATAAGGAGACATGGATAGGGATGTATATAATTCATCTTAAACTGTTTCCCCATATTTCTCAGGTGAAACCATACATATATTTCTCTCTTTTTTTTAAAGAATTGTAAAAGGATTTTTTTTTTGTGCTGTTTTTCAAGGAACTAATTGCGAAAGGTAGTGTTATATAAAAAAACACATTTCAACGTAAAAATAAATAATAAGGAGTGTGGGAAGACGATAGTACCATAATTAGAATTGATTTTAAAAAGGAGTGGTTATTAGGGAGGTACATCATAGTGACAATACATTTAAGTTGTTTTTTTTTTAAAATAAAAGAGTGGCCATTAGTGGACTATAACGTATACGTTTTTTGTTTTATGTTGTTATAAATATTTTGCTCTAATTTTAATTTATTCCAAAACAACATCACAATGACAATTTCATTTTTATTAAATAAAGATAATTTTTTTTCTAATTATAATAAACTATTGATATTTTTATTTTTTATATCATATTCATTATCTCCAAAATTTTTATATAATATTATATAATACAAATAGTAAAAACGTCATTAACCTATAACAACGAAAGAAGGAAAAAAAAAGTGTGTAAAAAAATTCTGAGTTGGCTTATACGAACAATTCCTCATACAACTGGCATTAAAAAGTTAGAAAGTGTTCATCAGTCAAACTTCTCCAACTGGATTTTTTTGGCACGTTATTTGTTTTAATTGTTTCCTCAAATTGCACGTTATTTATGTTAAAATTATACTCCATTGAAATTTGAAAAAGAATAAACAGTCTATAAGTAAGAGTTACATCATGTGAGTATAAATGTGATTTTAGTGGACTAATAAATATTACGCTATATTCTTATCCGTTTTTGTTTTAATATTTTTTAAAATTTTTTACTTATTAAATAACACAATGAAGTTATAGAGTCAAGCGTTTTTGTTTTAATATTTTTTTATTTCCTTTTTTTATTTATTAAATACCAATAAATACATGATAAGATAATAATAATAATAATAAATGGAAAAAGAATAAATGTGAGTATCAGTAGCTAATAAATACCACGTATCAAACCTTTTTTGTTTTCATATTTTTAATTAATAAATACTATTTGTTTTTAACATTTATTATTTATTTTTATAAAATTTATCATATAATTACAGTTTTATCTTTTTAAATACCCATTTTATGAGTTTCTATTACAATGTATAGATTTAAGAAATAAGATTTTATAGGATTTTATAACCTTTTTATTATTAGTCATCATTTTAATAATGTTTGAATTATTATTTGTTGGTAATTATCTTAATGTATATTTTGTTGATATAATCTTAGTAAAAAATATTATAAAGTATTTATTTGTTAAAAAAATAAATTCATTATAATGTAATATTAATTTAATATAAATAAGAATTGTATTTAAAAGTTTTGTAAATAATATATGTGGATAAATATATAGGATTTATAAAATTAATTAAAGATTTTAATTAACCAATAAATACTAAAAAACTTGCCACATGGATGATGACATAACGATGAGGTGGGTTCACCAGAAGCCTTCAAACACAACTTTTAATATATATAGATTAATCACTAATTTAGGAATTGTTTTTTTTCTTCGGCTTGCCCGTGAAAAGCCCAGGGAGAAAAGAGAGGCTAATAGCTATAACTGGTGGCCCAATACAACCAACTCATCTCCTTTGTCCTCCGCGTCGGCGTTGCTCTACCGCTGTAGCTTCTCTTCCGCACCAGACTCCGCCACGAGCCTGCCGGAGAAAAGGTAGGTTGAACTTCAGATCATTTCTTGTTCTCGATTTCGGTCTCTGATCTCTAGTGTTTTCTCTCAACTCCATCTGGCTCCCATTGTTAATTTTATTGGATTGCGATGATTCTCCGTGTATGAGACTGGCCTTTTCCCAATCGGGTTTTGAGGGAGTTTGTTTTGCGTGTTTGATCTGCCCTTGGGGTTTGTTTAGGTCTGTCATTTGTGATTTAGGGGCTAGGGTTTTAGTCTTCTGGGTGGGTAAGCGTAAACGCGAGTTAGGGAATATTTGGGTTTTTTTTTTTGCGAACTGGGAGGAACCTGGTGATTTTGTGTTCTAATTGAGTTGTTGAATTCGTGTGTGAAGCATGAAATGGATCTCAAATTGCATTTCGTTGCAAACCGTAGTTGTTTCTGCAAAGCCAGTCATTGGTTTCGAATGTTATTGTTATCATAGAGTTATACGACAAAAATCCTTTTTGAATCTCGTTGTCTGGATTTCATGAACTTCTGTTCTATTACCATCACGATTTGTTCATAGATTCATAACACTGAATCTGATGAAGTTGAAGTGGGTTGCTGATTGATACATATGTATATAGTTCAGGGATTTGGTTCTCGACATGGCATCCAAGTTGGTACAAATTCAATCAAAGGCATGCCAGGCTTCCAAATTTGTGGCTAAGCATGGGACTTCATACTATAAGCAGCTGATAGAGCAGAACAAGCAATACATTCAGGAGCCGGCCTCCGTGGAGAAATGCAACGAGTTGTCTAAGCAATTGTTTTACACCCGTCTTGCTAGGTTTTTATATCTCTGCCTCTCTTACTGTGAAAATTTTATTTGGGTCTTGATTAAGGTTTATGCAACTATGTTCTAGGATTCAGATAATCAAGATATTTCTGCCCGTACAATTTATTTTGTGCAATTTCAGTTCAAGGGATAGAACTGGAAAGTTGAACTACATTCCCCACAGATTGTTAAGCCTTTGCATATAAACTTTCACGGAATTAAAGATAGGATTATTTAGAGCAGTAGGTCTAGTTTTTCTTCTGTTGTTTACTGGTTTCATATCTGCCATGTTTATGTTACATCTGATTTGAGATGTTCTTCGTGTTCAGTCCTTGTCCTAGGTCCAGAACAACATTAAGGTAGTAAACCTCGATTTCTATGAAGATTAACTCTTCGGGTAGTTCATTTGGCAACTTATGAATTTCAATCAAGATGAGGACTTTGCCACTGTTAGTAGCACAGTTGATCTGTTTCCTATATACACTATTCACATCATATGTTGTCCTTCTTGTTCCCTAGAATTCGATTTGTACAGTTGGTCCAAGTTTTCGGCTTTTTGGGTTTTGCGATCTGGGTTTCACCGCATATTTTTTGTTCATCTCATTTGCAGCATTCCCGGGCGATATGAATCGTTGTGGAAGGAACTAGACCAGGTGAAGAACTTATGGAAGAACAGAGGGGACCTGAAGGTGGAAGATGCAGGGATTGCTGCTTTGTTCGGGCTTGAATGCTTTGCTTGGTTTTGCGCAGGTGAAATCGTAGGCAGGGGATTCACCTTCACCGGATATTACCCTTGAAGTCAAAGACAGACAAATCCCTCAGCCGGATTCAAATTTCAATCTGTGTAAGCCCTTCTGTTTCAATTTACTTGTGATTTTGATCACAGCTATCAATTTTCATTGTTCTGTCTTCTTTCCCATAAGAACAGAGTTTTTGGAGAGATGAGAATCCTTTCTTGGTTTAAACTCTTGATAAAGATTTGTCCCCAATAAGAAAAATTTCCCTAAGAAGTATGTAGAGTAGAGTGCAGTGTCGGTATTTGCTTCCATGTCTGAAGAAGAACTGGCCTTGAACATAGAATGGCATCCGACGTTCTTTTACAAGGAAATTGTAAGTTTGTAACTGTAAGAGATGGAAATCGTACCGGACATATCAAAGTTGAAATGCGATTGGATTTTTTTGGATTTTTTTTGTAATCAAATATCATCTATAACCTAGGGTGAGACATGGGTCGGATTCCCGACGTTTTGGGATATTCGATTCTAAAGTCGAGGCTCTGGGGTTTCGGAATTCGGAACCCATATCACCCAAATGCTCGGAGGCTGAGTCAGTGAGCCGAGGGCGAGATCAAGGAAAAAGAGAAAGAGAAAGACGTAAGGTGAGGAGCGGATGAGAAGAGAGAGAGAGGCGAGACGAGGGACGAGGCAAGAAAAGAGAGAGGCGATGACAAAGAGACATATCCCGAGGAGGGCGAGCAATGGAGGCAAGTTGTCGGAAGCTGAGATGCGGCATCGAATCGATCAAACCAAACCGTAACCTTAATTCTAGCGAGTGCGGTGACCGATATTCACGATACGGATTTGCTCATTCGGTATATAATCGGATCGAAATCAGATATCCAACAACCGATTTTGTTTACCAAACCTCGTTCAGCTTATCAATCGGATAATGCAAATTTTGAAAAAGAAAAGAAAAAGGACAACTAATGAAAGAGATGCAAATCAGACAAATGAAAATATGAAAGAAACTGAAAAAAACTGGCACTGCTATATATTTGTGGATCAAATTGATGTAAACAGTTCTGTAAATAATTTGAAACGTACATATTGAATTCAGTTCAATGGCGAAATACCAAAATCTCAACAATTTAATGAAATTCGCGGTATAGGCGGCGGCTAAATGGAGGACGCAAGGGAAATGCGACAAAGAAGGACGAACGGCCAATGAGACTCCTTCATAAGCCCCTCTCTCGTAATTTCAAAATCGTAACGACGACGAGCACCGAGACGCCTCTGCTTTGTGAGATTCCATCCGATGAACGGCGATTTCTCGCGTTTCGTGGCGGCTTTCGCCGTCTTCTTCCTCCTCTCCCATGTCGTTCTCAGCGAGGTACCGATTTCTTCTGTTTAGCTGCTTCTGTCGTTCTGATTCCCTTGTTTGTTTCCCGGGAAAATGGCCGGGAATCTGCGGTTCCAAGATCATGTAGAAAAATTCAATCTGTTTGTTAGAGATCAAGGTGTAAAACTATGGAGAGAAGCATATTGCGGGTGAATTAATTGGGTCTATACTAGAAATTGGAATGATTAGTCGAAGAAATCGGATCTTAACCTATTCGATTGTGAGGCCGCTTCTGGAAATCTACGATTCTATGTGTTCGCTCGCATAGTTCGTCCCCGAATTTATCTAGGTGGTTTGTTTCTTGTCATTTTTCCTCTTTTGGATAGTTCGGACACTGATTTTTCTTGTCACTGGTCTGATTGGTCGGATCAAATTACAGGACTGCAGCAGAACCTGCATTGCAACGAATTGCAACAGTAAGATTGCTTTCGACTGTCTTTAGATTTCGGGAATCACTTTGCGGGTTTCTCTATGAACATATCTATTATCTGGATCTTTAGATTTCGCCATTCGGTATGGGAAGTATTGCGGGATTGGATACTTTGGATGTCCTGGAGAAGCACCCTGCGATGATCTTGACTCTTGCTGCATGGTTCATGATAACTGTGTAACTGTAAAAGGTAAATCTGATCTTGCCATTTTTGCAAATTTTTCAGCTGTGAATATGTGTTTTGCAAATTTTGGTGAGTATGGAAATGTTAAATGAATTTAGCACGTAATTTCGATGCTATTATTTGGAAGCTAACCGGGTGTCGTGGTTATAGGGGAGGAGAATGATACATCGTTCGGCCTTTGTGGCCTGGTAGACATTACCTAACACTTTGATGGTCTGAAAAACAATATGCCATCCAAAACCATGTTTTGATTATGTTTTTTTCCTTAGTTCTAACATTTATATACAAGATCTGGTTCCAACAATGTTACCATCCCTTAATTCACGAGCCGTGTGACTAGAAGCTCACCCGTGATTTTATTCCCATAACCATGACAACCATGTTTTTCCTTACCAAAATGAAGCTCCTAGAAAAAAAAATTTCTTGGTAACTAGACTCGGAATATTCAAGTGAATTTGATAGTTTCGGTCCTTTTTTTTTCTCGATTCTTTGTTTGTATGGGTTTTCCGAAAGTATATGTTTAATCATTTTTACATTCTGCTCGCAATGTCAGTGTGCATGACTTTATTGTTTACATATACATTGTTTAGTACCACGGTTCTTAATCTATGGCCTCGATGATGAATCTTCTCACTGAAACAAGTTTATTGATAACTCATTATGAGAAGCTTTGCTACATAGTATTGACATCACTTTGTAACCATATCCCTTTTCGCAGGTATGACGTATATCGCGTGCCATAAGCAATTCAAGCGTTGTGTAAACCGACTGAGCAGAGCAATAAAAAGTTCTGGTAACAAAAAGGTCGGGTTTTCCCCTGCATGCCCTTATTCAGTAGTGATTCCCACAGTGTATCAGGGAATGGATCTCGGCATCTTCTTCAGTGGCATAGGTACTGATTTGAAAATCGAGCTCTGATTTAGTTGCATATATATATACACTTCTGGATGGACCAGTGTGATGTGAAACGATGTTTCTGGTTCCATTTGTACACCTCAACTGTTACACACCATGGAAAAATCATGCCGTTGTGATGACACTGTGTGTGAACTCTTTGTTACTTTTCTTGATATGTCTGATCCAAACCACACTTTTTGACAAATATCTTGCCCGGTTTCTGCGAGATAACACTCTTGATGGATCGATCCAAAAGGGACAGATGATGCGATCGAAGTATTGAGATTGTTGTCAGGATGGGTAAGATTGGGTTTGTGTCTCAGGTAATATAGTGCCGAAGTTGCCAGGGACCGAAGGAGTGGCGGTGGAGGCGGATCTGTCGAAGAGCGGAGTGGACATAAGGACAGGACTGGGAACAACAGGCAGTTTGAATGTTAGCCTTGACACACATGACGGTCGTCCTAAAGCCGTTGCTTCTCTCTCCACCAACTCTTCTTCCTCTGTTCCAAACGGTGACCACCTCTTTCCCCTTTTTATTATTAGTCATC